TATGAGGCGTTGTCAAGAACAAGAATCATCCGTTTGCCTTTGAACTCAGGGATCGCGTTGTACGCAGGGTTAAGACGGAGTTCAAGCCACTCCATGAACATGGAGTCGGTCATGGCTGCGTGGTAATCACCCGTTGCCAACTTAGTCTGCCAAAGAAACTCTGCTGTCTCCTCATCTTCCATTTCCTTCTTGCCGCTATCCGTTTCCTTGAACCAGCCCTCTTCGATCGGTAACCCATCACAAAGCTTAGCCAACGGCCCCCACTTCGTGATTGCATGCACCATGATCATGCGCAAGCCCTTCCCCGTTGTGCGACCAATCCCATCCTGCACAACTCCATCCTCGTCCGAAGGAAAGTAAGAATAGGGGGAACCATGAGCCTGGTGGACAAAACTCTCATCCATGTACACGATCACTGCTAACCCAGCATCCTCTGCCCTCTTTGCCATGTCCATCTCAACAAGAAACCGACGAATGCGAGCAAGTCTTTCGGCGTTTAACGGTGGCGTTTTGATCCTGCCTCTACGACGCTTGTAGCCGAGCCTACTCAGCAGCCCTCCTGCCGAACGGTTGGACGGCTGCTCCATGTTGCAAGTACTGTGCATCCATTCTGCCACCGTGCGGCGAAAGACTTGACGACCGGCCTTGTGCTCGTCATTGATGAACTCGCGAAGTTGATCTTCTTGTACTTCGGTGAGGCGGCGTCGCCCATCATCCTTCTTTGCCGTCTTGCCTCTCCCCACGGCGGTGGTCCCGTACAACTGGCGGTGATCCCACCAGTGGTTGTTGATGCGTCTGACCTTGTCGTGGCCGATCTTGAAAGTGCGCGCAACCTGCCAGCATAGAGAGGTCCAGAGAAGAGAAAATATTGCAACATGGTTTATGAATAAGGTCAGTTCACTTGGACATTGCACAGAGAGACATCGCACATGCAAGCCTGCTCATCTGCTGTGAATTACTGTTGTAAAGTACTGCTGTACAGCAGTACAATGTATTCCTGCTGAATATTTGTGTGACGTAGACTGGTGAGTCAACCGTGTAACGAACGGCACAGGCTCGCGCCCGACATAAATGCGACGAAAACGCACACACCACACATGAACAACATAGTCTACTGCCTTCCGACAATTGCAGATGTACCTCAGAAAACTTTCACTTAATGTCTCATACTCTACATGAATATTAAACCAATACGAAGTACAACAACATATGTAGGACTTATTTCTACTGTCATTTACATCGTAAAAGTATCTCCTCTTCAACTTTCCAATGACAATCCTGATGGTATCCTATATGCGTTCCTAAGCTTGCTAAAATACTACTGCGTTGATGTCCGCTTGTAAAAGCTACTGCTGTTGGCAGCAAAAATAGGGTGTACAGCACATATTCCGGAGTATACATTCAAAAACCAACCGTTACCTTTGACCAAGATGAATATTTAAAAAAGACATCGGCCTGCTGCTGTGCCGCACCATCCGACCTCCACTGCTGTGTACTGACCTGCAACACCGCCTCGTTCTCAGAGCAACCTTCCTTGCGGAGGTCAATGGTAGCATGAGGACCATCCTTGACTGCAACTGGGTCCAGACCTCGCCCTTCTTCGGCTTCACCTCGTGCACAGATGTGTCCATGTAGTCCAGCCCCTGAGCAACCTTCGCCGCGGCATCAGGTGCTGCTTGGACGCGCTCAACCTCCTGCTGCTCACGCTTTTCCCGCTGTGCAGCGGCGCGAGCCAATTCTTGCTCCTTCTTGGCGAACGCAACCTCCTTCGCTCTGAGCGCTTGCTCCCTCTGCGCCATCTCTGCTCTGTCCGCCGCGAGCGCTGCACGTTGCTGCTCGAGCTCAGCTTGGAGTCTCTCNCGCTTGCTCCCTCTGCGCCATCTCTGCTCTGTCCGCCGCGAGCGCTGCACGTGGCTGCTAGAGCTCAGCTTGGAGTCTCTCCGGAGCCAACGCACCTCTCGCTGCTACTGTCTTGGCTCTCTTGTCCGACTTGGACGGGCGTCCAACTGCACCACCAGTTGGCTGTCTCCTGCCCTTCGGCTTCGCCATCGGCCGATAGCTGAGAGGCCCCTCTTTGAGCGTGCAGTACTCGACAACGGCTGCGTTGTGTCCANGCAACTGGGTCCAGACCTCGCCCTTCTTCGGCTTCACCTCGTGCACAGATGTGTCCATGTAGTCCAGCCCCTGAGCAACCTTCGCCGCGGCATCAGGTGCTGCTTGGACGCGCTCAACCTCCTGCTGCTCACGCTTTTCCCGCTGTGCAGCGGCGCGAGCCGTTCTTGCTCCTTCTTGGCGAACGCAGCCTCCTTCGCTCTGAGCGCTTGCTCCCTCTGCGCCATCTCTGCTCTGTCCGCCGCGAGCGCTGCACGTTGCTGCTCGAGCTCAGCTTGGAGTCTCTCCTGGGCCAACGGACCTCTCGCTGCTGCTGTCTTGGCTCTCTTGTCCGACTTGGAAGGGCGTCCAACTACACCACCAGTTGGCTGCCTCCTGCCCTTCGGCTTCGCCATCGGCCGATAGCTGAGAGGCCCCTCTTTGAGCGTGCAGTACTCGACAACGGCTGCGTTGTGTCCAACGCTGGTCTGATGTGCGCGTGCGCGAAATCAGAAGGGTTTCCAAAACGTTCTACTACATGCATGGCTAATTCGCATCCACTCTGTTTTTTTTGTCAGGCCGACACAAAAATGCAGTGAAAAAGTACCCTATATTCGCCGGCAACTACTGTACCTTATGGTTGTCTGATGAGAGCAAGACCCGGCTCGTTGGAAAGCTGTGGTTTCCGTCTTTCATTTGATGTATGGTAGGTCTGCTAACCGTGCTGTAGATTGCGTATAAAGCCTCTGGGCAGTAGTGCTTGTTTTTCCAGCTGTCCAAGAATATTTGCAATTGTCGGAAGGGAAAAAAAAAAAATTACACTGCTTGAGAGAAAAAAATACTGCCGTTCACTCTTTCATCACCCCGCCCCCTTCTCTCGAACAAACACATTTCAAGAGCTAAGCACTTCGGAGCCACGACCTGCACGGTTGGTTGTGGCATCAACTGCTGCCTCATTTTCGTCGGGCATGACACTTGTCATCATGCGTCCTTCCCTCCCCGTTGAATAGAGACAGGAGAAGTGATGAACAATACCATCGGTTTTTACGCTTCATTTCATTTCATACCGCCGATACCACTTCCTCTCTTCATAACCCCATGCGATCTCGACCATATAGCACTTACAAAAAAAAGTTGATATTTCAATCGTGTACATAGGTCGCCCTGGTGGTCTAGTGGGTAGCCTCGCAGCCTGCTAAGGGCCAGGTCATGGGTTCGGGTCCCGACAGAGTGAGATTTTTCTCGCTAGTTAAATCCTGGTCTCCGTTGGAAGCGACGCGCTGCAAAGCTCGTTGTTAGTAAACTTGATCGACTTCTTAAGTCGCGAGGGAAGGGATTGCTGTACCCTTCTCGCGATAAAAATATCTCAGGCAGGAACCGCAGGAGGGGGTCCAACCCCCCCTCCAATGTGACCGCGGTTGGGTCGTCTAGCTGGTAGAAGTGGAGGATAGGGGCCAGAGGGGCAGACGACAGAGTCCAATGATGGGAGAAAAACAAACAACAAACATAGTCGTCCAGACCTGACGTGCATACTCCATCCCTCCGGGTCAACGGCCAATCAGTCATACAGTTTACCTTGTCTTTACTTCGGCCACTCATCCAAACCTTTCTGTCCACGCCGTGCGGCCTACTTGCGCCCTACGCCCTCTACTCTTTCTACTGTTTTACTATTATCACACACCTCACTGACGGCGGGCAGAAACGACCTTGCCGCATGCGACCAGTCTTAACCTTGCTTGGTGCTGATATTTAAAGTTATCAGAAGCCTTCACGGCGAACACGCTGTTCATCAACGGACCAACTGCCCGGTTCCTCCCTTCCATGGAACGAACCCGCATCATTCGCGCAACGTAAAACCCCGAAACAAGAGGCGTGCGTGCCCAAAGCCCGTACTCAGGAACCTGAGAGGCAGAAGGCTCACAGGCGAAACAAAAAAAATGATATTAAGTCTCAGCAAGTAGGCCATAAGAACAAGCGCTCCGTCAACAATCCTACACTAACACCCATGTAAAGTCGATGTTGGAGTACCCCATATAGAGAGAAGACGAATCATCGAGGAGCCTCGGCAGAAGACTGAGGTGCTCGAATGCGGGCGCTAACGCTACTCCGGGACATCGTTTAGATTGCTGCAACCCGACCCTGGGAGGTGAAAATTAAGGAACGCAATATACTCGAACGCACAAACCAACAGATACAACAAATCCCACCAAAACATGTTGAGAACCAAGTCGATACACATCAAAAATAAAAACATCGGTTCATGCCCGTAACGCCAAATCTTAGGCAGGAACCTAACCAGAAGGCAACACTTCGCAAGTACGCCACACTATACCTTCCACAGACATCAGATAGCTGCCGATGCACATTCAGGAGAACATACCATATCCTTCCAAAACAGATACCACATCTCCATCAACATCAAAACAACACAACACAAAAGGGGTCACCAATTTGGAACCTGGGAGTCGCGCAATCCAGGCTCAAAAGATCGAAACATATGACGCCCACCTTAGCAGAAGGACCTCAGTTACGAGCCCTTGTTGTGGGGCAGAATGAGAGGTTCATATTCAAAGTGGTCGCGCCTTCTGCAGTCAAAAACTAAGCCGGCAACGGACGGTCAATCTTTGGCAGAAAACCAACAACCAACATTCGGTCAATCAACTCCAAACACAACAGCAATATTGACATGGCAGGCAAGCCGACGAACCAAATAAACCCCCAGAAAGCTATCTTCTACAGAAGAGAGCAACTGCCTCTAAACCAGATGTACGCCCTACTGTTTCGTAAATTGGAGGAGAGTACTGGCTCAACCTTGAGCCAAGTGATCGGATACCCGGACACTCAACAGCCAGTCAGGCCCTCGCCAAAGGTTACTCCGACGGAAGCATGGCGGATCAGCTCCCGCACTCATCGTTAAACAAAATCTCCCCAAAACACCGTCGTAAAAGCTACCACTAAATAAGCACCTACTACAGAGTATGATACCAAATTATGGTCATCCCCTCTTTGGTGTCATACATACGCCACTATTACATTGAAACCCTTGAGGCTTGCTCCCGCGCAAGTCTGCCAGACGAAAACGACGACATATTTCATACACATTGCCGTAAATCAAAACCTATGGTAGCCGCATTATCCCGAGGGGGGATCGCGGCTCAGACTGCTACTACCAGAACTGCTACAGGTGCCCGCGCAACCTCTCTCTCTCTTCGGCCACGCCACTCCAAACAAATATAGAAATACAGGATAGTGTGACCGCTAATCCACCACTAATTTATCCCGGACTGGACAGAAACAAATTGGGCTAAGTGATTTTGTAACAAAAAAAACAAGAATCAGATCAACAAAGCGGCGAAGCTTTCTTCGGGGGGTCCGTCCGTTGGCGACGACGGCCGGTGAAGCGCCTCAGGTATCAACATGCTGTGGGAACTCCCTGCTCCCACGAAGTTCGCCGGTTCTAGGGCGCGCGGGCTTCGGTCGAACGGGTCCGGGAGGGCGTGGAACGGAGGAACTTTAACGCACCGTTGGACTTGCGGGGTGGTCGCCGTTCTCGCACGCCGGTACATTACCTTGAGATTTAAGGGGGGGAAAATGCGAACAAGAAAGCCATCACGGTTGTCAAACCCTTGCAGATGGAAACTGTAGCCTCTGATCCACCAGGCGGGAAAAGGAAAACAAGCCGTTGGTATGCATCGAGCTGGCAAAGTCACGAACGCTGACCAATCCATGCGTTGCATGCAGGGAACCAACGAAGAGACAAAAGCGCCGTTGAAATTTCCTGCAGATGAATCCCACGCGGAGAAGACGCACTCCTTTCCCAACAGGGGGGGCGGGGACTTGTTTGTTGTTGTTGTTTCTCACATTAGCTCTATAGTCCACAAAAAATGGGGAGCCCGTGGTCTCAAAACCCGGCACATACGACGCCGCGAGAAAACAAAAAAAATCAAAAATAGGGTACAAACCACTCGGAAAAAGAAAACAAAATGATAGAAAATAACAGGTATCGCACCGACCGTTCGAGAAAAGAGCCCTCGGACACCGATCAAAATAAAACAAAACAAAAATAACAGAAAAATAAAGGAGGACGCTTCCCACACCCGCCGAAGAAAAAATCAAAGGGTAACGTACCAGCACCAGGCACTGCACACCAGGGCATGGGAGTAACGGAGCAAACAGGGCAAAGAGGCGGCAGATGGGCAGACAGCCAGACGTACAAAAACAAAGGCAACAGCAAAGCGACATCAAGGTACCCAATACAGCAGAGCAGGCAGGGAGGTCATGAAAAAAAGATACACAGCACAGAGGCCGAAGGCAATAAAAAGGACATAATACATAAAGGAGCTAAAGGAGCATAGCATACGGCAGGGAGGGAAACAGGGCGCAACAACATCAGCCGGGTACATACTTCGCCACAAGCGCTGCCTCGGCCGCCCTACTCGCTTCTACAGCAGTGCCCGGTCGCCGTTTCTTCCCCCCCACCGCC